ACATAAATGCCGTTTGATTTGTGTTTGAATAATTTAACTGTTATCTTTTGTAATCTGGAACCGCGGCTAGAATTACAATTGTTTGTAGAATAAATTAAGAGAGATTTGGTTTATTCTAGGACACAATTAAGAGAGATTTGGTTTATTCTTGGCAATAATTTAGGATCCTATCGCATGAGAGATCAACCTGGTCCCCTAAATTATTGTACTCTACGCCGCGAGAGCGGTAAGAACCTAGTATTGATTAGCTAGGCTCAATTAAATTAAATTCATGTAATTAGTCCTGATCTGCCAGAAATCTGATTACACCAGAATCAATCCTTGTTCCCTTCGTTGTTAATTTAGAAGAACTCAAACCTTTACTTTTATTCGCTCATTCACATTAGTTTAATTCCAATTTAGTTTTCCAACCCAAACCATTCTCGCACAATTTATTTTATTTATTTATTTTTCTTAATTACTACCTCCGTCCCTTAAAACTTTGCCAAAGTTGACCGGCACGGAGAATAATAAAGTAAAAACTTTGTAGTTGAGGTTTGTGCAGAGGAAAGAGAAATAACAGAAACCACAAAATGATTGATTAAAAGTGAAAGTGACAAAGTTTTTTGGGACGTCCCAAAAAGGAAAGATGACAAAGTTTTAAAGGACGGAGGGAGTAGTTTTTAATCGCTGAATTTACTTAATTCTTGATTCCCTTTTATCCGTCCCTGTGAAGACGATACTCGTACTTACACCACTATATTACAATCTTTTTAAGTGCGAGAAAACTAACATCACCATCCCTAGTCCTACACATAAAAATGGTGAGATAAAAAATGAGACACAATATGTAAGGGTGTGTAAAATATCCACACCCTTGCATTGGAGATGCTCTGAGAGTGCTGAAAAGTGAGAGCTTTGAGAGTGTAGGATGTCGGTGACGATTAGTATTTTTTGTAGTCTTATTCAGTACTACATCCGTCCCAAATTGATTTGTAAATTTGATATTTTTGGTCAAACAATTTCATTTTATTCACTTAATTAGGATGTTAATTTTTAATTATATTTTAATTTGGAGTTCGCAACTTTGAATATATTTTAATGTAGTTTATGAATATGTAAATTTTAAATATTATAGATTGAATTAATTATCAATAGGATGAATTTATCTTTAATATTGTTTGACCAAAAAATATTGACTTTGCAAATCAACAATAAAGAATTGAACAAAAATAATTGACATTATTATTATTTGTATCAATATTTTTTTAATAGTTCAAATCTTATTTTATATTTGTATCCCTTCATTTATTGATTATTGTACTCGGATTTATTAATTCCAGCCCAACTGGTTGTGAGGTTACCGTGCCTAGTGGGGGGTCTCGAGTTCGAAACACGCTAGACACATAAAAGTTTTAAACTCAATGGAGTGAGTTTCAGCCCCGATTACTCCAGGCCCCCAACCCCCTCCCCAGACCCCCTGGAGTAAAAAAAAACTCGGATTTATGAATCTTATTCAAATATTCAAATTGGAAAAGATTTAAATGTCAAATTTATCAAAGTAATTTAAATTGTAATGTATATTTGTCCTTTTTGTCCCATTTTCGTAATATACGAAGTATGTTTTATACAAATTAAAATATATTTACCAGCCATAAATTATTATCAATGTAAATATGCCTATGTTGAAAATATGTAACTAAGCTACTTTGAAAATATGTGACTATGTTACTTTGAAAATATGTGATAAAAGTGCAAGAATCTTCATTGCTTAATTTCTCTTTGATCCATTTCTCAATAGTCCCTACCGACAAGAGAAAGCGATTCCCTGCTTCTCGCTAGACATCCCTCGTGCCGCCACAAGAACGGAGCACATGATCTATTGTCTTCTCTTCTTGGTCACATAGTTTGCAAACTGTTTGAATCAGAACACCTTTCCAATACAGATTTGCTAAGGAAGGTAGAGAACTAATCAATAATTGCCCGAAATAATATTTGATTTTAGGTGGAAGTCGTTGTAGCCTCACACCGACACCCACCCTTTCCCAGCGCCCGAGTCAAATGGACTTGATAGGGAAACTTAGAATCTTTCTTCTATCCTCTCTATTAATTTTTTTTTACATTACATATCATAATGTAAACATCATTAATATTTACATCAAATAGTCATGTAAATATCATTAAAAATGAAATATGTTACTTATAGAACCATTAATGTAAATAAATATCATTGCTTATTCAATTTACATACCGTGATTTATGTTAGTTGGTTGATATTCGACTTTCATTTTGTGCGGAAGTAACTCTATATGCTCTATAATGAGTGTGAAGATTCAAATATGTATAAGTTACAAGGTAAAACATAATATCTTCTGTTTCTTTTTAGTTGCGACATTGAAAATTTTACACTATTCACATTATCTATTTTGACTGCGTTTTATTTATTAATCTATAACAATGATTTATTTTGAATATATTGTTGAATTCATCTCAATATAAATTCTTATAATACGATTCTTAAATGTTATTTACTCATAGAGAATTAAATCTAATGACCGTAAAACTTATGCATTGGCAACACTCTCTTCGTACCTTAAAACTTTGTCATCTTTGATTTTTTGAGTTCAACAGTAATCGATTATATATTTTCATATGAAATTATTTATTGTTGGAAAAATGTGTTAAAAATTGCATTAAATGGTCATTTTGGGGCAATTATTTGAGTGGGGTCCACTTCCGATTTGGGTCGGGTCAAAGTGGTTTCGGATTGTCCTTGTTAAGGGCTGCAATTCGATATATGGTACACTCAAAACGGATAACGGGTGAATGAGAAATTGATTCTCGAAGTTCACTCGTTGAAATGGAAAAACTGGGAAAATGGTGAGTTTCTAGTGAGTTTTATCCCACACCGAAAAACTCAAGGGATTTTCACCCCCTTATAAAGGGAAGCCTCTTTTAAGGAGTTAAGATTCCTAAAGGGAAAGGCTCTCTCTTACGCGCAGGGGGGGGGGGGGGGGGGGGTGCCGATCAAATCCCGAAACGGAGAAGAAAAACCGCGACTCGTGTCGTCCGAAAACCTATCATTCAAAGATACGGTCTAAGTTTTGTTTCTTCCCGTAACGTTTTAATTTTAAAATTAGATACTATTTTTAAAAAGTGAATACAATAAGTGAGTGACATGAAGTTTAAATATTAGTTAAATGAGAACTTCCTACTCATTAGTTAAATTAGTTCTAAAATATGAGAGAGAAAATTATTCTGCTCAATTGTTAGCCGGCTTATCTTATACGTAAAGAACTACATATTAGAAAAAATTATTTTGCTCAATTGTTAGCTAAATTATTTTTTACCTAAAAGCACTGCGTATAAGAGAGAAAATTCTCCGTTGAATTGTTAGCAAGCTTATCTTTTATCTTTTGTACTACATAAAAGCACTACATATGAGAGAGAAAATTCTTCCGCTCAATTGTTAGACATATTATCTTATCTTAAACTTAAAAGAACTACATATGAGAGAGACAGTTATCTCGCTCGATTGTTAGCAAATTTATCTTTCTATACCTAAAAGCACTACTTATAAGAGATAAAATTATGTTACTCAATTGTTAGATCACTTATCTTATACTTATTTAAATGAACTACATAGGGAAATTTACAATATTCATCCCGTAACTTTCAGCCGTTATCATTATTTGTCCCGTAACTTTAGTCACTTGCAAATTTGGTCCTCTAACTAATTAATATTTGCGATTTAAGGACTTTTCCCCTGAAAAGTACACTTTCCGGCAATAGCATACCGGAAAAGATGTCGCCGGCGTCGAACTTTTCCGCCGGAAAGTGTACTTTCCGGTGGGAAAGTCCTTAAATTAAAAAGATTTATTAGTTACAGGACCAAATTTGCTAGTGCTTAAAGTTACAGGACCCAAAACGATAACAACTGAAAGTTACAGGATTAAAATTGCAAATCTCCCGAACTACATATGGAGAGAAAGTAATCCCTAAAAGCTCCCGATACAATTGTTAGCAGACTTCTCTTCTAGCTAATACCTAAAAGACTACATATAAGAGAGAAAATATGCAGCTGAATTCCCCCGCTCAAGTGTGAGCAAGCTTATCTTTTAATACCTAAAAGCATGTGAAAATTCCCCCGATCAATTATTAGCAAGCTTATCTCCTTATACCTAAAACCACTACTTATGAGAGAAAAAATTTGTTCTCTCAATTGTTAGTCGCTTCATCTTCTTATACCTAAAAACACTACATAAGAGAGAGAAAATTAACCCGCTCAATTATTAGCCGGTGGCTTATCTTATCTTATACTCCCTACGTCCAGCTAATATTGTCTCATTTTATCTTTTTGGAAAATCCACTAAAATTGTCTCATACCAAATTTGGTCAAGTTTATGTGACTTTAAATCATTCTTACTTTATTGTTACTTTATCAATTAATATCAGCCACATAAACTCATTTTTCTTAATAATCGTACCACACCCTTCCATCTTAATATTGGAGGGACGAAGGTAGTACTTAAAAGAACTACGTATGAGAGATGAAATTCCCACGTTCAATTGTTAGCAAGTTTATCTTGTAATACCTAAAAACACCACATATAAAAGAGAAAATTCATCAGCTCAATTATTAACAAATTTATCTTATATCTAAAAATACTACACACGAGAGAGAAAATTCTTTTGCTCAATAGTTAGTCGACATATCTTATCTTATATTTCAAAGAGCTACATATGAGAGATAGTTCAGCCGCTCAATTATTATCAAACTTATCTTCTAATAATACCTAAAAGCACTACATATGAGAGAAAAAATTTTCCCACTCAATTGTTAACTGACTTATATCTTCTATCTTCTAATACCTGAAAGCACTACATATGAGAGAGAAAATTATCCCGTTCAATTGTTAGGCGGTTTTTCATATGAAATTATTTATAATATAAAAATGATATGAAAATATTCTTCATTTAAAAGACATTCATAAAAGTGTAAAATTTATAATTTTCCAAATTTATAACTCAACACTAACTAAAGTTGGATTTTTATTTAATCCAAATCTAAAAAAATCTTTGCGATCGTTATTTTCGTTGTCTGCTCTCGGCTCTCGCGTGTTCTCGCTTCCTCGGCTCTCTGCTCTCGGCTCTCGCGTGTACTCTGCCATTCAGACCTTCAGTAAGCTTCGCATGACTTTAAGCCCATGCCTCTGTTTTTTTCCTTCAAAATATTAATCTTCAATCTTTGAAGAAGAATACTAGAAGCTGTTACATTTGAAATTTGGCAGCTTTTTTGTCTTATGATTTGCTGAAAACGTTTGGTTCATCAGGCGTCGGGATGGCGAAGGCCATAATTGCGCCGTCGATGCTGTCATCGGACTTCGCCAATTTGTCCTCTGAAGCCCAAAAGATGCTCCGCTGTGGTGCCGATTGGCTCCATATGGACATCATGGTACTTCTATTCTTTACTTCTCCTACTTTAAGATTAGAGTCACGAATCTCCCTTGCTTTGTTTTATAGTCCTTCGGTTGGTGTAGCGAAAAGTTACCATTAAATGTTCCCTGTTCAGTTGCTCTGATTTCAGTCTCAAATTTTAAGTTGATTTATTCTTGTTTAGATTTAGCCCCAAATTTGAACCTTTTAGATGTCATGTCTTTTTCTTCGTATGAATGACTAAAATATGAGGGAAAAAAGAAGTAAAAGAAGCTAAGAGACAATTTAAAAACGGTGATGAATTTGTTAGATGAGATGAAAGAAAAACTTCAGGAATGAGGAGTGGAGTTGGGTGCATACAAGTATACAACTAGGAGAAATGAAAATTTCCGTTTCCTTTTGTATCCCCATTTTCCGCCCTTCCAAAAATGGCATGCGTATTACATCAGAAGTTGCAGCTTTGTGCTTTTAATCATTTACTTAATCCCTAAGCTGTTTTCTGACAAACTTTATACTCAAGCTGGGCTAAAATCTTCTCTGTACAATTGCAGGACGGGTAGGTCGGATTTATGGTGTGGCATACCTATGCTTACACATGTCTTATGGGGAACATGTATCAATTAAGAAAAGCAACTCAAGTGATTACCTTCATGCAAAATGTGACTTCGATTACTTTTTGTGTTCTTTTGTTGCAGTCACTTTGTACCAAATCTAACAATTGGTGTTCCAGTTATTGAGAGCTTGAGAAAGCACACAGAGTAAAATCCTCCCATTGATGTGATATCATATCCTTGTTGAGCAATGAGTAAACTTTTTCTGAACTACACTGTGGATTCTCATGTCTTACAGTGCATATTTAGATTGCCATCTCATGGTGACAAATCCTCTGGATTATGTTGAACCATTAGGAAAAGCTGGTGCTTCAGGTTTTACATTCCATGTTGAGGCGTCAAAGGGTGAGATTATTGACTTCTTTTTTACTCTAGTTATTTTAATTGCTTTTACTTCATTTGAACTATAGCTCTATCCAATGCAGATAATTGGCAGGAAATTGTTCAAAGGATAAAATCAAATGGCATGAAACCTGGTGTTTCATTGAAGCCCGGTACTCCAATTGAAGAAGTCTTTCCACTGGTATTTATTATCATTGTTTTTTAGTATTAATATTTTATTCATTTGGTTTGATGAGAATCACATGGTATGTTGCAAATGCATATACTCCGTATATGATAAGGTTTGCCTGATGTTATTCTCCGCAGCTTGAAGGTGAAAACTCAGTTGAATTAGTTCTTGTGATGACTGTTGAACCTGGATTCGGAGGACAGAAGTTTATGCCTGAAATGATGCATAAGGTGCATTCTTTTAAATTAGGACATCCTCTTTTGTGTTTTTTATTTATTATTTCCGAGAAAAGAGAGACAAAATGTGTATGCCTTTGAACTATATGCCAAAGAACAAATATACCCCTCAACTTTCTGTTAGAACAATTAACCAAAAATTGTAAAGTTGAAACAAATATGTTCTTATGTCCAAATACTAATAGTTGAGGGTTATGTATGTTCTTTGATACATAGTTTAATGTTATATTTGTTCCATCTTTACAATTTTTGTTTTTAACTATTTAAGTATTCCCAAATAAATTGAGAGGTATACATGTTATATAGTATAAACTTTGAGGATACTGTTAGGAATATTTTATGGTATCCAATCTAATTAAATATCTTTGTATTTGTGTAGTTATTAATTATTAATTAAACATGTAATACGGGCCACAAATGTGTATCAACCCGTTAGTTTCTTTGTAACCCGTAAGTTAGCCAACTTCTCCTATAAAAAGAGGCTAACTTACGGGAACCCAAACGATTAAGGCTTTAGAGAATAGAGGCGCAGAGATAGAGAGTAGGGTTTGCCGCTGCTCTCCTTCTCCAGGGAGAGCAGTGGCCAGTTTACACGGTATACCAAAGGTGTTATTAATCTTGATATCTTTCTATCTGCTTCTTTATACCTGCTATGATTGTTCGATTGTTCAGTTTTGGGTTTGTGATTTGGTATCAGAGCCGAGGCGTGAAACATGTTGAATCTATCTGCAATTTTTTTTGGATCTAATGAAGAACTGCTCTGCTTTTCTTCTCTTTTTCTTCAATATAAAGTTTTGCTCCTGTAATCTTGTTTGTGAACGAAAATCTGTAAAAATTATACTGTTGGAATCGCCTCTTCAAAACGATTCTACAGCATATCTTTGTTTTCGATTTCTGCAAATTTTCATTCTCGAAGAACTCTACATGAAATTTCGAGTTTATGCTTTTACATGGCTTTTCCATCATTCGCAATGGAGCCAAAGATTCATTATTTTTTGGCTTGAGATTATGCTAGAATAAAGCAAAATGGCTCACTAAACTGTCTGTGCTTCTTTGTTATGTAGCAGCAGTCAGTCCATGCAATCTTGGACGCGATTTTCGCTATGAGTCATCCGGAAACAGTCTCTCTGTGCTTTAGTACAGGGGTAAGATTGCGTACATCCGACCCCCTCTTACCCCACCGTAGGTGGGAGCCTTTACGGCACTGGGGTAAATGAAAATGATGCTTTTACATGGCTGCCGAAACGATTTTGACTTGAAACAGATACAGGAGAAATCTCGACCTTCAGGGCTATTCAAAACAGTTTTCAGATTTTCAAAATTCGAAGTTTTCATTTTGCAGGAACTCGACATTTAGGGTCTCGAATTCCTAAACTCGACATTTCTAAAATTGCGAGTTTTGAAATTGCGAGTTTTGAAACTGCGAGTTTTGAAACTGCGAGTTCTGAAACTGCGGGTTCTGAAACTGCGAGTTTTGAAACTGCGAGTTTTGAAACTGCGAGTTTTGAAACTGCGAGTTTTGAAACCTCGAGTTTTGAAATCTCGAGTTTTAAAAAATTGCGAGTTTTGGAAACTCGATGTTTAGGATTTCGACTTCCTGAAAGATTTCGAGATTTTTGGAATTTCTCCATGTTTTGAATATTTCAAAGTTTTCAGTTTCTTGAAACTCAGAATTCTTCAAACTTGACATTCTTCGCAGTTCATCGAAGCTTTACATTATATGATTTCTGAATGAATCTCTGTTTATCAAAGTTTTTGGAAGTTTTCGATGTTCTTATGTTTTTCAAACAGCAAGTTTTCGAGTTTCTTTGGTTTCCGAAATTCCAAAGTTTTCGATGTTCCAAACATTTTGAAATTCTGAATATTTTGATTTTCTGAGGTTTGTTTTGCAGGTGGCTTTTGCCATTACTCTTCAAGGCAAACTCGAAATTAAAATCTCGAGATAAAAACCTCGAGATAAGGATTTCAAGTTTTTGCCTTAGAATTTTGTTTAATTTCACCTGTTCTCGAAATTCAATATCGAGAACCTCCACCTCGAAGAATTTCCTCAAAAAAACTCAAAATTCGAGATTTTCTGCGACACCGCACTGTTTTGGCAATAACTTTTGACTCGGTGATCCGATATTAGTAAACTTTTTTTTGCTGGAAAGCTAACGAAAAGATCTACATTCATTCTAGGGCGATTCCCCAGAACCCTTTCTCACGCGCCCTCACTCGCAGTCCTTGAGGGTCAAAACGTTAGTTTTCCGACAAACTTTGTAAATCACCGATGTCAAGGTCAAAACTTAGGCAAATCTGATCAAATTCTTTCAAAGTAAAACCTAAGGTCTAAGCTGCACTATAGTGGTCCGAAAATCGCAGATCATTCAATCAACCTCGCGTCAACGGTCATTTTACAACAATCAACAATCAACTACTGAAGCCTCCCCTAACTCATCAACATTGTGTGATCCTCAAACATGCTGAAATTCCAAATGATGAACTTAGGGAAACCGTCATGTGTGGTACCTGTACAGATTGCTCCACACACATGGTGGGTATGACGAGCTGTGAGCAATCAAACCTTGCACATTCTGAGGGGGAGTTTCAGTTTTCTCCTCCTGGCGCCTTACACCGACAAAGCAAGGAATCTCAACGGATGCAACATTTTAGGGGGAGTGTTCAATGTTATCCTCCCTGGTGCCTAACAATGACAAAACATACCGAGTGCTTCAGTTGAGGGGGAGTACGGAGAGAAAATCAATGAGATAACATGTTCCTATGGCTTAGTAAACCCAACTAAGCCTACCCAAGGGACAAAGCCGAGAGTAAGTGAGTGAGTGAGTGAGTAATCATTATGAGAGTTAGGAAGCAGAAGACTCAAGTGAGAAGGAAAACAATAATCAATGATGAGTTTGCTACCTCAACTGCCTGCTATGTATTGAACATTTACTCCTAGCCACTCAAATACTCTGGACAATTCCCAAATAGGTTCAAGACTGATTTAATCAGATCCCGGGTAGAAGTCACTGCATCTTGTCCAACAGTGCATGTTTAACCCTATCCAAGACCACTCACTTGTCTCCCAACATACAGGTGTTTAATCATATTTCACGGGGAACCGCATCTCTCATTACTGTCTCCTTCCGAGGCAAGTGATACTGACTACAGTGGCCTCAGCCCCATGCCACTGAACTTTCATTGATCACGTCGTGTCTAGTTACCTCACTCCCAAATGTTTTGAATTTTTCTAGGACACAGACACACTTTTTGAGTCAGTTGCAGGTCTACATGACCCGCGAGAACTTCCATAGGGCTCATCTATTACAGATGTAGACCAATGATTGGAAGGAAGTCCTGCTGTTGCAACATAAGAATCACCAACATTTTCAGGCCATCGCTTCAGAGTTTATCTCTATAATGATGATAACGGGCGTCTTCACGACCCCCGGGGGCTACGTTATCTTTTTTACATTCTGCTTGTGTTTCTTGTTTTATTTCCGCAGAATAAAAGAATAAAGACATGATGCCCTGAGTTATCGGATCGTCATGAGGGGGAGAGTGGTCCACATGCTGTTAACTGTAAAAAAAAAATCATTCTGGGACACTTCTCTCCTCCAACACTCTCTCTACTATCTCCGCAACTCAAATGGCCAGCTACGCTCACAAGTCAACCATCATTATGTTCCGTTGTGTCATGGACAAGTTCTCCTCAAATACATTCATTTCAAATAGTCAAAAACACTACATTGTGGAGGAGACAGAGGTCAAATACTCGTGTCCTGAAGATGAATTCCATTGGCATCTCCTATTCTCCAAAGAATATTCATTCTAGAGGCGTCACCGGACTTCATCCAAGCTGATCAAGAGCAAATTCTGGAAGGCAAGGACTACATGCAACATACTGAAGATCCTTCAACCCCGGCATCAAAGATCAAATTGCCAAGAAGACATCAAAGGGGAAATTGCGAGGACTTTTTCAGAAAGCCTTTCTCAGAAGTCAAGTTCAAAGACAAAGGAAGCTGAATAACAACAAAGACATAGATATCTGCGCTGCAATGCTGATTCAACACGATTGAACACCAAGGAGGAGATTGTTAGGAATATTTTATGATGTCCAATCTAATTAAATATCTTTGTATTTATGTAGTTATTAATTAAACATGTAATACGGGCCACAAATGTGTATCAACCCGTTAGCTTCTTTGTAACCCGTAAGTTAGCCAACTTCTCTTACAAAAGGAGGCTAACTTACGGGAACCCAAACGATTAAGGCTTTAGAGAATAGAGGCGCAGAGATAGAGAGTAGGGTTTGCCGTTGCTCTCCTTCTCTAGGGAGAGCAGCAGCCAGTTTACACGGTATACCAAAGGTGTTGTTAATCTTGATATCTTTCTATCTGCTTCTTTATACCTGCTATGATTGTTCTATTGTTGAGTTTTGGGTTTATCAGATACATTTGTTCCTCTCTCTTTAAGATGTTACCAACTTTTATAATTTGATTTCAGGTACGTGAACTAAGAAAAAGGTATCCAACCGTCGACATTGAGGTATGAAAACAATGTCATATAGGCTATTAATTAACTAAATAATAAATTAATCATAAGGTGAACTGCTACTTGTCTGAAGAACTGTTGTCGTGGCAGCGATCTGCCATTTACGTGTGTTATTGGGCCCGGTCCGGCCCGGGTGTGCTGACATGGAAACCAGCAACCCACTTGTGTTTCCGGGCCAGTTTAAGAAGAACCCATATGTCAGCCCAATCCTGCCCAACCCCACAGACCCGCTTTAACTCGGCCCAAAACTCAGTGCAACCCGCAAGCTGCACAGTACTCTTTTTTTAAAACTTAGTTGTAGGAAGGAATCAATTTGGCGGGTTCGTTTTGTGTGTTTTTGAAGTGTTATTATACCTTTATTTTGTAACATGTTTAAGTAGAAACTAATAATTACTAAATCATTAATTAATAAGGATACTAATACTAGGGAAAAATAATTAAAATTTAAATACACCACGAATCATACATTCTTCGTTCTTTAATACTACCTTCGCCCCTAACATTGAGACAATGGGGAGTGACGCGACTATTAAGAAAAGTGAATTGTGTGGTTGTTATTAAATTGATAAAATGTGAATAAAGCAAAGATAAATGTAATCGCTCAAATATTACCAAATATGGTAAGTATATGACTAACTTAGTGGGACAGATGAAAATGATAAAATGGGTCAAATATCGAGATACAAAGGGAGTAATAGTCAATTCAATACGTTAAGCAGCCACCCTTCAAAGAGTGCGTAATAGCTCACTGATCGAGCGCCCTTGTGCAGAAGATGCACGAGGCCAAACAATTGAGTTTACAAATTAATTTAAAAGTGTTGCAACTACATTGACAGGAGGTAATGTTGTTTATTTCACAAATGAAAATTTAGAATGTGGAATACATCCTCATAATTTTTTAGAGTTTTAACTATGTACCTAACGACATAAATTTAAAGCTGACGGGGTATAGATATTACATATGTAAGTTTTGGATAGTTACCTCACACCTCTTTAAAAGTTTGGGTATTTAATTTAATTTTCCCTTATAGCAATTAGTGTTATTACTATACTACCCACTTGTGTATACAACATTCCAAATATAAGTGGAAACACACAATATTATAGTTTTGTAAAGATTTTATAATTAACATTATTGTAAATTTGTACTACTAAATTTGTTTCATATCATATTTAGTAATATTTGGATGATTGCAATTCATTTTTATTTTATTCACTCTTTATTATATAAATGTCAATATGACAATTTCACTTTTCTTGATAGCCGCACCACTACCTCATGTCCCAATCTTAGGGGACGAAGGTAGTATGATATTATATTACTCCGTAGTATATATCTAATTCCAAGTGAGCATGCAACATACGTAGTACATGTTTTGATTGTGTGCTATGATTATCAGATTACAAATGAGAGTTATAATGTTCTGTATTTTATTTTGTACCACTATTGATCGGATTTACCGGCTTTTGACCTGGCTGACCCTCTGTGTCCAGGTTGACCCTTGACCCGGTCCTGGTAGCCTCTTGGTCCAGTTTTTTGTTTTGACCACATACGGCACATAGTCATTTACTTATAGTTGTTAATAATTGGTTAATGATATACTGTTTTGTACGTTGTACAGGTGGATGGTGGTTTAGGAGCTTCAACAATTGAAATGGCTGCTTCAGCTGGGGCAAACTGCATTGTTGCTGGAAGTTCTGTTTTTGGTGCTTCTGACCCAGCTCATGTCATATCACTATTGCGCCACAGCGTAGAGGCAGCCCAGGATGGCAACACTGGGTTCTGATCCACCCAAAACTACCTCTCTGTATTGTGATTATAATTGAATTCCCATAGAAATTTATCACAGTAATAAATAAGAGTACTTAGTTACAGAGATTACATCCTTATTGTCAAACTAGTACTAAAGATAACTCTTTCCCTAAATTCTCTTTCCAGTTTGACTTTACCACACACCATTCACAAGTCAAGTATGAACAATTCTAAAGTTTATCCAGCGTTCCTTAAATCCGAATTACGCAGTTGCCTATATTTGTGAAGTATTAGACGTGTAAGTCGTATCATGCGAAAGCGAGGAAAGGTCCTCGACAACAATTAAAAAATGTTGTGTAAGAAAGTGTATTACTCTTCATTTTCATGGATTTTTATGCCTTAGTTGTTAACCTAATACTATCTATATGCGCAAATTTTTATGAATGACTGGATGAGGAATTGAGGATGCTTTTTGCTGTTTTGCATCATATATGAAGGTGCAAAAATGTAAATGTGTAAATTTATTATTATGAAGGTTCAATTTGAACTAGTAGCGAATAGGTTTAATTTGAGGCTATTACTTGCTCTTTATGATGCGAGTATGTTGGCAACTTGGCAATGGATTAAATTGAATCATGAGTTGCTATTTTGACACTTCATAGTTGGTACTTGGTAGTCTATATGCAGTTCCAAAACTTCAATAGTTCAATTTGACTGTATTGATCCTTAGATTCGCCTCTGGTGTTGGAAAATTTGAGAATAAATATTTCAAATGAATAAAATTATCTTTGAATTTTATTCATACAACCTGTGTGATGGAGTCCCATGAAGCAGATTCATATGGGTATTTACAAATCTTCTATTAGTTATTGCCCTAAATTACTAAATAGGACTATGAGTCCCTAAAAAGCACAAATAGAACTACTACTTTTTAAATTCCCATACGACTACATTTATTTTCTACCCTAAATACCCCTAAGGGTATTATTTCATAACGAAATGTTTTAATTCATAATAAAATCATAAATAATAATAAAAAAACGTAAAAAAAATTAAAAATTAATAAAATATTTATAAAATAAAATTTCAATTTTTTTAAAATAATAATAAACAAAAAAAAGCTCATAAAAGATATGGATACCTTTCTCACCGCCTCCCAGCACCACCACCTCTGATCGGTGAATTTGCTACCACGTTTTGTAAAAAAATGCCATCTTTTTCTGAAAATGCAAAGAAAATGGCACAATCACCCTTCATTATGCCAACATTTTCATTGAATCTGCCATCATTATGGCATTGTTTAAAATGTTGACGATTTTCTCCGGTGATGGGAGCTGGTGGTGCTGGGGGTGGCAGAGGCGGCGGTGTTTTTTTTATGATTTTTAATATTTTAATGATTTTATTATTAATTAAAACATTTCAAAAGTTACAAGGGTATATTTGTCCAAACACACATAAAAAGTCATATTGGGAGAATTTAAAAAATGTAGTCCTGTTTATGCAATTTGCCACTTTTTAGTCCTATTTAGGGAATTGACTCATCTTCTATTTATTCTGCTAGCCATATATTTAAATGTCCATTTCTATGGTGTGCCGGTGTGGTAAGGGCGAGACTGCATTTCTTTGTGAAGTTGAGTTAAAGCTCTTAATGATTGTTATAGCTCTTAAGGGGTGTGTTAAATGTAGAACATACTTGATGAAATCACCTATATGAGTGTGAGGTGGTGCCGCTTCCATGAAGCACTGACAATGCTTCTAGAGCACTCATGAAAACCAAGCATGCGCACGGCCTCTTAGCGCACAACGATATCAACGGCGAGAAAAGCGGGGTGAAAATGATCCTTAAGACACTACCTTACCATTTGTAGATTATTGGTTCATAGAAATTTTTTCGTTTCACCAATAAACTCCGTATTTAAAGACTTAAGGGTCTAGGTCTGGTTCAAAGTCTTCGGACACCAGATTCAAAAACCTCACCCGGCCATATATGAAACCTAGTAAGGAATTAACTTTTTTTAAATACTTAAAAAATGATGTGATGTTACCGGTCTTGTACCGAAAGCCTCGTTATATCTTGGGGGAAATTTTCGTACGTCAGAAATAATTCATTAAGATAGCGTCTGACGCGTCTCGAGCTATTAATATAATTTTAGTTATTTTTATTGATTATTTTGCAGGTCAATTCTCGGAGCTAGATAGTCAAGGAGGTCAACTTAAGGGTAATACGGTCAACGTGTTGATTTTCAAGGGATAGAACCAACAATCTAAGGAATCGTGGTGAATAATGATTTTCAAAACGTCAGTTTTTAGATAATGAAAGTTATGGGAAACAAATCCACCAAAATAAAGTGTAAATTTTATGGGTGGTGATTATATAATTGTTGCGGTTTTTATTAAATGACTAGTGACTTATGTGAATGAATAAATGGTAGATTTTGAGGCTACCAAACTCATTTGTGAATGCACAAGTTTTTTCCCTCTCATAGTTCAATAGGGGATCACGAAATAGAGATTTCCTTTAAACTCACGTCAGAAAAATTTGTTACCTCTAAATGACATATGTCATGTGAGTTTTGATTTCTTTTAATTTCATTTATCTCATGGGAAAGTTGCGGTTAGAGTTATTTTTATGTGCTAATTTATGATTATTGAAAAATAGTAATTTGTGAGACAAGACAAATGTAACAGAGGGGTTGTCTTGTATTAAATGTGTTAGTTTTTCTATATATTGAACTTCTAAATATTCTATGTTTGATATTTATTGATATAAAAATACTTCTAGAAATTTGTGAAATGTGTGATGAATCGATATGAATTTTATTAAAAATATTATATGGTGACTAGATGTGGTGAAAAGGTTTTTATATCCCAATCATTGGTGATTTTTAAAAATACACTAAATTTAAAGTTAAAGGCGGTTTTTTGATAAAATCTTAGTGTACAAAAAGGTTGAGTTAGAAATTATTTTAATAAAATTGATATTACATCCCTGTGAATTTTAGAAGGGCTATGCACCTGTTTTGAAATATTTAAAATTGTGGGAGTGCTTAGCTAAATTTTATTACCTATCTCATTTAGTGAAAATGAGCTTTATAACTTTTTGCTATTTTTTCATAAGTTGAAATAGTGGAGCATATATATGACTTTGTTATATTTCAATGACATATCATCCTACAGTGATCATAAAGGCAGATCTATACCTGTTCTTAGAGATGTGAATGAATTTTCAGATTGCATTGCTGGTTGTAACCTCATTGATCTCCCTCATTATGGTCCAAATTTACCTAGTCAAGGATAATAGCAAATGGTAGAGTGTGGAGGCATTTAGATAAATCATAAATGTTTATTCAACACTACATTTGTGGACAAATTTGACTCCATTCTTATAAATCTACTTAATAAGAATCCATCAGATCATAATCCACTTTTGATTCACATTGGTAACAAAGAGAGGTCTATGCCTAAAGGTTTCTGTTATTTGTGTGTATTAATATTCTGCACGCACATGAAATAATAATTAAATAATTAAGGAAACATCTAAAATTACTTGTAACCGAGCCCAACTTAAGTGTTGTTTTTTTAAGACGTTTTTGCCGGACACACGTAGCAAGTGTCTCCCAGGATAGAACGGTTCTTCGCTCCCAAAGGGATTCCGGTGAACTCAAAGATGCAACGAAGAGAGAATATGGAGGATTGTGTGATGATTTTCGGATACCCAAAACTGAAGACAAGGCGGGTATTTATAGAGCTCTGGCCAGGAGTCTCTAACCCAAAAGACACCTATTAAAAGAAAGTTCATGACCTTTCTTTTAAAACGAATGGATGTGTCTTTTATTTGGTTTTATCCAAAAAAGAAATAAAACGTAGCAAAAAATAATCTTTAGTCTTTAGCCATACGGATGTGTCCGGTGAGACTCGAACCCGATCCGGCCCGGCCGACTGACGGCGCCGGTGTGTGCGTGTTAAAATAATTTCACGCTTATCTTTCGGGGAACAATTTCTCATTCATTTCAAAATGTTTTTTCCACAAATAATATTAGTAATATTAATTTGTAAAACCATTTTTCCAACAATCCCCCCACATGAATGTGAAATTGGCTTAAAGACAAGAAACAGATTAGAATTTGACATGGGAAGATGGGAACTCTGCATAGGGTTAGGTAGTCGTGAAACTTTGAACCTACCTTAGTGTATATCCATTGGATTTACTGGACAATCGGTAGCACTTTGCTTTGAACCGTCAGCCACCGTGTAAACCTAGACAATGAATAACACACAGAGCCCCGGGTGCATCTTTGGTTCTCACGTTTGTGTTCGTTTCGGCCTTGAACACCTCCTGCTTCAGCTAGTGTTTTCGAGAGTATATCGTGCACCGGGGAATTTATCTCGTACCATAGACTCTCATAGAAGCGGCTTTCTTCCACCAGCATAGGTGATCTCTATGGAAGGTATCATGCCATACCTTACTTGAACGTATCAAGATATAGATATCATTAAAAGCGTAACTTACCCTAAATGCTCATGGCATGAGTGTACTATATATCTTGGTGATGGAGTATATCTAGAGAGAAGTGAGAGCTAGAGAGAGAAGTGCAATAATATGCTTCAATAGAATGAATTTGTAACCCCTATAACTACTCCCAAGGGGAGTATTTATAGAGAAAATACGGGCTGGGCTCCCAAGCCTTGGGCTTGGGAGGCCCATTTACAACTGGACCGCTACTGGGCCGAATACAAAGCCACTAATGGGCTGTACAAATGAGTAAGTGTAAAATCCGGTTCTGTGAGGTCTTCGTGGCCGATGAGGGCACGGCCGACGAGGGCACCCGGGTTCCTTGGCTTCAGGACCATATTCTGAGTTGGTACCTTTCTCGGCCGACGGGGGTCCCTTGGCCGACGAAGGCACCACTCAGTGTCTTGTGCTTTCTGTTCTTCTGAGTATGTGGGTCCTGGGGCTCAGACCCATATACTCCATCAGGAGTCCCCCACTCTCTAAGCTGAGACGTAGACGAAGTGAAGGAGAGTAGATTCCCGTGCTTTGATGCTTTTAGCCGATGCGGGCACTCCCAGGTCGTTAGCTGTTGCGGCGTTGGCGCTGTTTCCATTCTGGCGATCTTGTTCTGTGCTTTGGCCGTTACCTGCTCCTCGCTGTGGACGGGGAGGCCGTTGTTTCCTTGGTGTGTTTGTTTGGGGACGATGAGTGTCCTGCTTCGATGGTGGCCGTTGAAGGCGCGCTTTCTCTTTCTTGGACGTTGATGGTTGAGATTTATGTTTGGGCCGATGAGGCCGTTGAGGTTGAACCTTGCTTCGAGGACGATGGGCGTCCTTTCATTTGGGTGGCCGATGAGGGTGCTTGCGCACTCCTTTTGACCGTCGCTGATTGGCTTTCGTGTTCCTGGCCGAAGAGCCCATTATGATTAACTGTTGGCGGAGGACGATGAATGTCCTTGCCTTAGGTGGCCTGTTGGCCGTTGCTGATGATGTTATGCGCCTTTGGCCGACGAGGCGCCGTGTTGTCCAAAGTACCTGGCCGGAGATGAAGTCATGAAAACCTTGGCGCCGTTCTGATACATGGACGATGTGGTCATGCTTTGTGGTTACATTTGTGTTTGCATTTTTCCTTTCTGTATTGTTGAGGCCGATGTAGTCCCCCAGTCCCCCACTGCTTCAGGCCGAAGAGTGTGAGGGGTGAAGGGGTTGCTTGAGTCCCTGGCCGAAGTGGCCTCTCCGTAGTGCCCCTGAATCCAACCCTTATGGCGATTTTCTGGCCAAGGTAACCCTGTGGGAGAATCCTTGTGCGTAGATCGCTTGTAAAGAGTTATCATCAAGGGTCGTTACGAAGAGTCGATGGCTGCAGGTTCTTTGTTCATTTGGTTCTGTGGCCGTTACCGGCGTTCATGACGTTCCTGGCCGTTGTCGTCTCCTTATTGCTGACATTTGTGAAGCCGGCAAGCGTATAAGCCGTTGTGGGCGCTTTGCTGGCATTTGTGAAGCCGGAAAGCATATAGGCCGTTGTGGGCGCTCGTTGTCCGTGTGATCCGTAGGCTTTTACTCCGCCGGTAGGTTAGTTCACGAGCCCGGCCCATTTCTGAAGTGGTGGCACCTCATCGGCTGCTGGGAAGGTGACCGCTGAGGTGGCCATTGATATGGTGCCACGTGTAGTGACCGTTGGAGATTGTCTATAAATACCCCCCCCTCCGAAGCGGTTCCTTACTTGCATTCTTGAGATATCGAAGTGC